GGAATGTGAGGGCAACGGCTGAAGAGTGAACGGGAGGTGAGGCGTGCAGATGGCTAGTGTAGACAACCCTTTTGAGAAGTTTCGCTGTAGAGGGAATAGAGAAATGGGGTAGTGCCTGAAGAAGGCTGTGGGGCAAAGGGAGGAATGTTTTCAAGATAGGAGATACAACAGCGTGTCTTCAGGCCGGTAGAAATGCCTCAGTGGAAAGGAGAAATCAGTGATGCAGGACCAATGAGGATTGAGAGGGTGTGCTTCAGGCAGGGTCCCTAGGGGACACACAGGGCACCCTCAAATTGGGTAAATCAAAGAGGCCTTCATAAAGGGACTGTTTACAGATGTGTGGGCGGGACACAGGGAAACCACAAGGAAAAGTGCAGTACCTGGAGCTGGGGTTGTGAGCGATGGGGGCAGTTTCAGGAACCAGGACAAAGAGGGCCACCTGACAGGAGCTGTGACTTTCTGGGTTCGATCCCTGGTCGGGGAACTAAGATCCTGCCTGCTGCCTGGTGTGGCCAAAAACAAACAAATAAGCAAACCAACACAGCCAGCCCGTGGCAACCTGCAGAGAAAAAACTGAGGGAACACTCTGACCTCACCCTCGCCCACCATCCTATCTCCCACCTCTGCTCCCCATTGGCCAAACACCCCTGGAGCCAGAGGGCACGGAGTCCCATCAGTGCATCCGTCAAGTTGGCCTCCTGGGGGGCGCAGAGCAGCATGGGGAGGGGGGGAGAGTGGCTCTAGAAAGGGAAAGGGAGCATGTGCAGCGTTGGGTGGGTGCAGAGGGCCACACAGGGCCTGACCTTGAGCGTAGGTGGCTCACACCCTCCCTTGTGTCAGCAGGTGGTAAATGCAGGGGCCTGGTGTTGTGGGTTTCATGGTGGGGGGTAAGGGCTTTCATGTCTGAAGGTTCCTGTTTTCTGAATGAAGCATGAGGTGACGTCATCAACAGAGAAAACCGCCGGGTGTGAGGAGAGAAGATGAAAGATGTGCGTCTCTCCGCAGTGGGTGGTGAAGCGAGCATCCCCCAGAGCCGCTACAGGACTGCTACAGGACCCGGGCAGGGCCGCCGGCCCTCCCGGGCTTTGTGGTCAGGATTTAAAGTGTAACTGGTAAGGGTAACTGTCTCCAGCACACTCAGCTGGCAGACTTGGAGAAGGCACAAGACAGGGTTCATCCAGGGCTGCGACTTGGCAAAGGGAACCCACAGTTGCAGGAGCAGGGGAGACCGAAGACCTTCTGGTGACATGCCAGATAGCTAGCTACCCGTGCCCATGGACATTATGCAGTCATGGCTAGCAGTATTTGCCTACAAACAGAAACACAGGAATGGACATACTTAAATAGTGATGCACGCTTACACACTCATGAACATCTGTCTGCAGGCAACCACCAAGTGCACGTGGGCATACACTTCACTTATGCATGTGGTAATCCCCCCACTGCATGGACACAGATGCCCGTGTGTGCAGCTGTCTACATGCTAATACACAACCAGCTTCATGGATTTGAGCAGGCATTCACATGGGTAAACATACACACCACGCAGGACGCAGACGCATAGGTCCACACACAGACCCAAATAAAAATGTACCCATTGAAAGAGGCCTACGTGTCAGTGGAGATACATACATATGTACGATGAAGTACTCATGTCTCACATTTGACAGCAGCTTAGATTTGTTGAGAGGCGGTGCCCTGTACTCCCTCTTGTTACCAAGGATAAACTGTTCTTGTACTAGCTAAGCCTAGTCCCTTCCCTTGTGTACTCGATGCCACCCACGCTCATCCCTTCAAGGACACCACATCAATAATTCTCTCCACTCTCTCCTGTAGCATCACCTCCTCTCGGCTCGATCATTCCCATCAACGTGCTGTTTTTCTCTTCCCAACTTACAAAGGCACTCTTTTTAAAAAATAATTAATTAATTTATCTTTTCATTTTTGGCTGTGTTGGGTCTTCGTTGCTGCGCACGGGCTTTCTCTAGTTGTGGCGAGCGGGGGCTACTCTTCGTTGCGGTGCGCGGGCTTCTCATTGCGGTGGCTTCTCTTGCTGCAGAGCGCGGGCTCAGTAGTTGTGGCTCACAGGCTCTAGGCGCGCAGGCTCAGTAGTTGTGGCGCACGGGCTTAGCTGCTCCGCGGCATGTGGGATCTTCCTGGACCGGGGCTTGAACTCGTGTCCCCTGCATTGGCAGGCGGATTCTTAACCACTGCGCCACCAGGGAAGTCCCCCAAAACACTCTTGACCCGTCTCACATTACCGGCGTATCCTTCCCATAGCAGCCAAGCTCCTTGAAAGGGTGACCTTTGCTCACCGTCTGATTCCTCTTCTCCCTTTCTTGGACTCCCTCCCAACCAGGCTTTCATCGCCAGCATCTACTCCCACTGTTCTTGTCAAGGTCACCAGTCGCCAAACGCAATCGCCAATTCTCAGCCCCTTTTCTGTGACTTGCCGGCAGCGTCTGAAGCCAGCTGAGCACTCTGTCCTTGGAACACTTTCTTATCTTGGCTTCTGGGACGCCACACTCACCTGGGTCGTCTCCCACCTCACCGGCTACTCCTTCGCACGCTCCTTCGCTGGTTGCTTCTTGTTGCCCAATTTCTAAATCTTGAGGCCCCGAAGCTCAGTCCTTGGTTCTGTTCTCAGCTCTGTCTCCACTCACGCCCTTGATGATGCTGTGCACCTGTACCTCTAACTGCAGACACATCATCTCCCCTCAGAAGTCTAACGGGCATCTGGAAGATTCCATATTCAAGAACAAACTTCTGATCAGAGCCTTCATTACACTTTAGCTCCTCCTCCCCTGAGACCGTGAGCCTCTGGAGGGAAGACATTTGTGTCTCGTCGTGTCTTCATGCACAGCACATACTACCAGATAAACATTTGTTGGATGAATGAATGAACATGAGGACACAGAGTGAAAGGGGGAGGCTCAGGCTGTGAGGATGAAGGGTATTAGACTCATGGTATTTCTGAGCTGAAAGGAACACCTCTACAAAAGGGCAGAAGCAAGCTTCCCAAGAAAGCAGACCTCACCGGAAGTGGAGAGGACGGGGAGAGCATTCCAGGCATGGGGTGCAGCAGGGGCAACGGCCCCGAGGCCAAAATGGGCGTGGCTTGCTTGAGGGGAACAGTGGGCAAGTGGGCAATTTGTGAGAAGTGAAGATCAGAGAAGTACTGGGTTGGCCAAAAAGTTCGTTTGGGTTTTTCGTAAGATGTTCTAGAAAAAAGCAAACGAACTTTTTGGCCAACCCAATACATTGGCGCTCATCCAACTACTGAAAGGGCTTAAAAGCCACGCAGAGGAATCTGGACATTAATGTGTAGTCAGTGGGGAGAATTTCAGGTTTTTGAGCAAAGCAGTGATGAAGGAGACCAAAGGGGCTCCAGAATTTCAAGTCTAGTGTTTCCTAAATACACAGGCTAATTTTAGATGTCACGTGACCATGGCGATAAATAATATAAAACCACATGATGAGAATTATTCTCTTTTTAATTCTTTTGATTGTATTAAAGAAAGAGTG